TGCCCCCAAAGTATCCTTGAGAGTGGACAAGAAACTAACCCTCTTCGTTCTGAGGTTATCAAATCTTGGAGAAGTCGGTTACTGGCCTTATCACTTTGGGGTTTACCTGGGCAACACTAGTTCTCCTTGCCCTCTGATTATTCCATGAAAGATATGGCTATCGGCCTAGGGTTAAAGGCCCATTTATTTTTCGAATGCTTAGATAATCCAAAATCGAGATTTTTCCTATCCATAACTAATGTAATTACCTTAATTATCCGGAAAAAATTTAAATCAGATCATCAAATAAATATATCAGATTATTCGAATCGGATATTTTTACGCAATCACCATTTGTGTACTTTATCCATAGAAATAAAAATGTAAATTCCTTAAAGGAGCCCGAATATCCATGAGAGCAACAATTCATAAGCGTTAGTAAAGGCCCGTATTCCAAACATTGAAAGCCCAAATTCGTGGTTTCTTTTCTCTCTTCCTTTCATTTCGCTACTTATATCTGCCTCTGCTTCAAAACGCAGCCGAAAGCAGAGAGAATCCCGAACCATAAACTGACGACATTCATATTAAAAACCCTACTATAAAACCCTGAAACCCTTTAAAACACCAAGTTCCATGGTGGAAACTAGAAAGCGAGGCCGGAAGCCAAAAGCTCCGGCTTCAACTTCCGAAGCGATGGACTTAGAATACGCAAACACCACCAACGCCGCCCAAAACGCCCAAAATGATGGCTTTATCGCTGTAAACAACTTGGTATCGACCGCCGCCGCCGAAAATGAAGTCGAAAACCAGCCACCAAAGCGACGGGGCCGAGGGCGACAAAGGAAGTCTGGGTTGGGGCACACGGAGCATACGGAGCCCTATGTGGCGGCTTCCCCAGAACGCAGACCTTATCAAAATGGGGGAGTGGTGTTGGAGCCACCACCGCATCCGGTGGCGAATTGGGAGAGCGCGGCGGCGAGAGTGGTTCCCGCGATGGATGCGGTAGTGAAAGTGTTCTGCGTTCACACTGAGCCAAATTATTCGCTGCCATGGCAGAGGAAAAGACAGTATTCTTCAAGTAGTAGTGGGTTTATAATTGGAGGGAAAAGAGTGTTAACAAATGCTCATTCTGTGGAACATTATATTCAAGTGAAGTTGAAGAAAAGGGGGTCTGATACCAAGTATCTGGCTACTGTTTTGTCTATTGGGACTGAATGTGATTGGTAAGGGAAATTTGAACATTTTTTATGGTTCTTTTTGAAATGTTTTCTGAAGTAGTCATGTGGGGGTTTCGTCATTTTTTTTGGTTATAAGACTATTGAAATGGGTAGAAAATGGTATTTGTATCGAGTGACATTGTAAGGGATTTAGATTTTTCATTTTCTTTCTTTTACATTTTTGGACTTCTTTTCCAGCTCCTTTTGGGAATAGTGAAGTTATTGCAGTTCCAGTTATGTGATGTTCTTGTATGAAAACGCTAAGGATAAACTATTGATTTTCTTGTTTTAGACCACGCCTAAGTATGTATCGGTTTAGAGCAAATCGCAATAGTCTTTAGATGGGAAAGGTGGACATTTATGCTACTGATTTGTTATAAAAGATAGCTGCTTGTGTTCTGATGGGAAACTTGATTTATGTAATATGATTGTATGAAAATGGCTATTGATCGAGAAGGGAAATGCTTGTGTTTACTGACTTATAAATTCTCCTGTTTTTGGATGCTGCAGCAATGTTAACAGTTGAAGATGATGAGTTCTGGGAAGGTGTTTCACCTGTGGATTTTGGAGATTTGCCTGCACTCCAAGATGCTGTGACTGTTGTGGGCTATCCAATTGGAGGAGACACGATCTCTGTTACTAGTGGTGTCGTATCACGTATCGAAATACTCTCTTATGTTCATGGGTCAACTGAACTTTTAGGACTACAGGTTGTGAAATAGTTCCAGCTTCTAGCATTTTGACACTGTTGTTTGACATGTTTATAAACCTATTGATGTTTATATCATTCTGTAGATAGACGCCGCTATAAACTCTGGAAATTCTGGGGGACCTGCCTTCAATGATAAGAGAAAATGTGTTGGTATTGCCTTCCAATCTTTGAAGCATGAAGATGCTGAAAATATTGGATATGTCATACCTACACCAGTTATAATGCATTTCATTCAGGATTATGAAAAGAATGAAGCGTATACAGGTATTATTCCAATAAATACTCTTTTATTTAAATCAGTCATTTTGCTTCTCTTTCTGCTTGTTTGTTATTGAAATTAGAAAGTGGCTTGACTTCAGTGATATCTTATGTTGTGCTTCAGTTCTAACTCCTGTCCTTTACATTTCTATTTTAGGCTTCCCTGTCCTGGGTGTTGAGTGGCAAAAGATGGAAAATCCTGATTTGCGCTTGGCAATGGGGATGAAACTGGATCAGAAGGGGGTCCTTATTAGGAGAATTGAGCCCACAGCTCCAGAATCTCATCTTCTGAAGCCATCTGATATTATAGTTAGTTTTGATGGGGTAAAAGTTGCTAATGATGGAACAGGTAAGTTATTCCCCCTCCCCCTATTTTTAGTAGGATGCCATACATTCGTCAAAGAATGATGTATGCACGCCTTATTCTTTCTCTTGTTTAATATTTAACTTGGTGAAAAACAGTTCCATTCAGGCATGGGGAGCGTATAGGTTTCAGCTATCTTGTTTCTCAGAAGTATACTGGTGACACTGCATCAGTTAAAGTTCTCCGTGATTCGAAGATACTTTACTATGACATAAAACTCGCAACTCACAAGAAGCTCATCCCTGCACACACCAGTGGGAAACCGCCTTCTTACTACATAATTGCTGGATTTGTTTTTACTTCTGTAACTGTTCCATACTTGCGTTCTGAGGTGCATACTGCTCTATCTTTCTCTCTCTCTACATTTGTGCTTGTTTCCTCTGTCCAACGTATTTTAGCAACATTTAATAATCTTTGGTAATTGTTTAAATGCATTATAACTCCTTTTTAATTAGGTTTTTTGTTTCTTGTCTTTGTTGCATTTTTGGAAATTTCTGGGAAAACTGCCCTGTTAGTGAAGTTTGAGGTCTGCATTAGTGGAGTGATACACAATTCGTTGTGAAACATGCAAGAGCTGTTTGATGTAGAGTTGACCTAACCATTTCTCAGAATTTGGAAAGAATCTTAGCACTTCTTACACTTTGTTTTTTATCCTAAAGTCGGTACCCATTTTTGTGCTCTAATACATACCTTGCTTGATTATTCTCTTCCACTGTATGATTATGTTTTTATGACTTGCTGTTTGAGTGGTATGGTATGCTTTCTAACTTCCCTGTTTCTGCATCAACAGTATGGGAAGGATTATGAATTTGATGCACCAGTCAAATTATTGGATAAGCATTTGCATGCAATGTCACAGTCTACGGATGAACAGCTTGTTGTCGTTTCACAGGTCTTTCATTTCACATGTTTTTTCCTTCCAAGATAAAATTATGAATATAAGAATATTAACATCATATGCTTATGGTCTGGTGTAACACAATGATTTAATTTTTGCTATAATATTTAAAAAAGCTCCTAAACTTTATTACTTTATTTAGATTTGCGCCTTATACCTTTTGTATACCTAACTAAACCCTTAAGTTTTAACTTGTAAAGTTCAGGGGCTTTTTTAGTATTTTAGGTTTTAACTTGTACTATAATAAGCCTTTAGCCTTCAGCTTATTGCCCGGCCTTAACATAAATCAACCTTTTACTTGGAATAAGTGCTTACTTAAGTAGAGGGGCTTATTTAAATAAAGCAGTAAAGTTCACGGCAGTTAGTATCTTAGCCTTTAGTTTTGTTTCTATTCATGCATTCTAGATCTAATTGCTAACAATTCTTTATTCTTTATCCTAAGGTGCTTGTGGCTGACATAAATATTGGATATGAGGAAATCGTCAATACCCAGGTCAAGAACGTTTTATGACATTGCCAGTAATTATTTTGTCAAAAGTTTGAAGAACACATGTTAACATTTTTCTTTTAACTCCTTTTATCTAGGTTATTGCTTTCAATGGAAAACCCGTGAAGAATCTAAAGAACTTAGCGAAGATGGTTGATAGCTGCAAAGATAAATATTTGAGATTTGACCTGGAATATCAGCAGGTTCTCCCTTTCTCTCTTACACACTCATGTGCTAGATACAAATATTTTGTTTAGGCTGAATCCCAATGTACCATGCAGATTGTAGTGCTACAGACCAAGGCTGCAAAGGCGGCAACTTTAGATATTTTAACAACACATTGCATATCTTCTGCAATGTCTGATGACCTCAAGTCCTGAGTAAAGGTCGAGGGGACACATTGGGTGATAGTTTTATGCGATCTTTTTGTTGCATGCTTCCTCATGAAGGTACAACAATATTGAGTTGCATCTGCAGATACAAGTAGCATTTTGAGACCCCATATTGTTAAGTTTTGCCTTTTCTTTTGCAGGTTGTAGACTTTTCTGCCTAGCTCGAACACGGTTTGCAGATCTTAGTTTTAGTTTCATATGGGAGTGAAGTAGAGAGTTGAGGTATCTTAGTTTTAATTTCATATCGGAGTGATGTAGAGAGTTGAGGTCATTTTTGCTACACTTGCTCAGGAAAGCATTTTTGTACCCTTTCCCCATCACTTGAAGAAACATGTTGTATAATCAAGGAAATTTAGTCACATATTTGATTACCAATCATGCACATTTGCTGCCCGATGAACGAGGTATCATTACGTGAGTTAAATGAATGAGGCTATCAACTATCTTTGCAGATAACCTTTGTGCCAAGCTATGTTACTTGGCTTAGTGGTGACCGAGATTTGCATATGTTCCATACTGGAATATTTTTCTTAAAGATATGTATTTTATTTCCTTGAATATTTGTTGGGCATGAGTGCTACACGTCTGGTATTAGGCAAGTGCCCCAAATTACAACCAGATGAAACCTCATAGGATTCGATTCTTCATTAATGGATGCATGTAATAGTTTCTGAGCTTATGACTTTCAAGTAATGATTGTCCGATAGTATTGAAATTTAGATTATTAGAGGACTTCAATAGTTTTCTGATTTAAACAAGTGTACCTCCACCGTTCCTTCTCCACGAAATCTGCATCAAGAAACCGAGCAATGAATGCCCAGAGCTTGTATATGTCCTGAAAATTGGCTAAGAACCCGAATGCAGCAGTAACCACAGCTATTCCCATATCATTTTTGTCTTTGCTTGTTTCCGTTTGCACTGTCGGTTTCATTATTTTCCTCTCCATCACTTTCTCCTTTTCTTGATACTTGTCTGCAAACCATATGTGGTGTAGGAACCCATAGCTGAGGGAAATATTGCTCCGATCCGCTAGCTTTTGTATGAGAACCGGTTCGATTTTTCTCCCTTCCAATCAAACACATTAATGAAATTGCAGGTCCTCGATCAAATTTGACCTTGGGGCCATATATTCGAACCAGGGGAGTCCCTTTGGTGTTGGGATGCTGGAGTTTCAATAGAGCAGTCACAAGCCAGTTGATGATGCACCTTGCTCTGTTGCTGATTGTTACCAGTCCTAATGAGTCCACCTGATCCAAGCCCCTACACTCGATTTCCCCTTTCTGTTTAAGATTGTCCTGTTGAATTATCTCAATAGCCTTCTCTGGTTCTGAAACTTCACTCATCTCCAACCCTTTTAGTTTATCTGCAATTTCTGCATGTCGGATCGTTGTCTTCCCTTTTTCAATCCTTCCAGATTGTGACGCTAAGCTTTCGAGTTCGGGAGATACAGTCGGTTCTTGGAACAGCGTCTCGGCAGGGGTAAGACCTACAATACCTGAAGTTGTCGAAGTTTCCAAGACTGAAAAGGTTGATTTCTTGACGAAGAGGCAAGCAAACCCTGAAGGGTTTTCTCCAAAAACCTTATAGAAAGAGCAGATGAGGAAATCCGGACGGAAAAGTGAGAGGCCGAAGCTGTCCATGTCTTTCGAACCCAATGCGCACGCATCGATCAACACATGCCATCCATTTTCCTCTGCCATTCTCATCCAGAGATAAGGATATCTGGTTCCAGTCATCCTGGAATGAAGTGGGAACACAAAAAGACCTCTGCTCGTCTTCTTCTTCTTCTTGCTCATCAACATGTTTCTCAGCTTTGATGACTGAATCCTCAGTTTGGGCCATGAGAATTCTGCATACGTAACTCTAGCCCCTTTTTTCTCTGAGCTTTTGGTCATGGATTCAATCGCCTCGCTCTCGTAATCGTAGACCGATAAAAGCTTCCTATTGGACCTGAAGGGATAAGATTCCGCCACGAGTTTGAAAGCCGATGTCTTGTTTGCTGTGAAAACCATGGAGTAATCACTTTCCGAAACATTAAGAAAAGCCATGATCCTCTTCCTGATACTAGATTCCAACTCTGATGTTGGTCTACCGTGAAGTAACTGTGTCTTGAGATTCCCCGTCTTGTAAGTCACCCCAAAGAAGGGAATATCCAAAACCGGAGGAGGCGATTGTGGTGGAGTGGGAAAGGAAGACGAGGCAATTCGATACGTCGGGGACTCGTGCTTTTGCAGTTGAGAGTAGGAGAAGAGGCCAGTGCCTAGATAATCAAGGCATGTATGGTTGGAGAAGGAGAGATGGTAATACTCTTGAGCTCGTATTTGGTCAACCCGGGAGGTATCGGAATACTGCGGATAAGCCTTGGTGAATTCAACAAAGGAGTCATGCATGGATGGCAGGGATTCATGGCTGGTGAAATGGGTGTTGGGGAAGATAGAGGAAGAGGTTTTGGAGGCGAAGTCACGGCGGCAAGCCGCGGAAGAGTTGGTGGGCTTGGAAGTTTTGGTTTGAGGGTAATGTGAGGTGAGGAAAGGTGACGGGCAGCAGCCATGGAGGCATGCTTGTGAGGCTTCTTCTAGGCAAAGGGATTGCATTTTTTTGGTTTATTCCAGCAGCAGCAGCAGGCCAAATGAATGTTTCAACATGGTTTATAATGGTGTGACTGGAATCATTGAACAATTCAACTGACCTGTTCTCACTCATCCTCATTTGATATTTTTTTATTTGATGTTGATGATGGAAAAGAAAATGTTGGTCAAAGGCAATGATTAAAAAGGCATAGTTTAAATGGATGGAAAAAGAAAAAGGGGATACTTGAAATTTCCCTAATCAATTCACACACTTTTCCCTTTTCTTATAATTATATTATAAAATACAACCGGTTGATCTAGTGGAATGATATAATAGACTCTTTAAGCAATATCAAGTGTTTAAATCTTGACGTTTGTGTATGAAGCAAATTAAGTTGGGAGGGTCACCCCTATAGTGGGTCTCTAAAAAATTCGATCTGGATTAGTTGGTCAGTAAATCGGATACCAGTGATTAATTCAAAAAATTTAAATGTGTGTGTTTTTTAGGGTAAACTACATATTTAGTCACTCAACTATCACTTTATATTCGGTTTAGTTACCCATTGTTAAAAAATAACTATAATATTAACGTATCTATAAGATAATATCATATTATTATTGAAAAAATAGAAAAATTATCATGTCAGTAGTTTTATTTATTTTTAACGACGAGTAATCAAAATACAACATTATGTATGATTTTAAAAATAACAATTTTTTAAGTTAAAAATTATTACTTTTATTCTCTTTTGGTTCCTAAACTTTATTTTTTCTCAAAATCATACTTAATCTTTAGTTTAAGTTCTAATTTGGTACTCCGCTGTTAAAAAATTAACAGAATTGCTAACGTGGTATTTTTAATTTTTTCAATGATGATGTGACATTATATTATGGTGATACGTCAACATCACCGTTAAATTCACGAACCAATTGACCTTGGTGATTGAGAGACTTATTGTTATCTCTTTAAGTCTCAGGTTCGAGCATCACATATGTAAGGAGTATAAGTGTTTTGTCAAATGGTTAAGAGTCTTTAAACAAACACTACCTTGTATACACCCCAGATTTATAAAAATAAAATCACCATTAAATTTTTAACAGCAGAATACCAAATTGAAACCTAAACTAAACATGAGGTATACTTTAAAAAAAATAAATTTGGGTACTAAAATAAAATAAAAATAATAGTTTAGATACTAAACCAATAATTTACCCTTAAAATATTTAATATCAGATTTCATAAATTAATTATGATAATAAATAAGAAGCCAGAGAATGTATCACTAAGTGAGAAAGCATGAGGCTAATACCTCAAAATCTTAAGATTGAAGTAATTGTGTTACAAACTTTCCAAAGTAGCTTTCTTTTTCTTTCTCGGCCGACAAATTATAAAGGAACATCGACAAATGCTGGCGAAATCCAAGGCAGTTCTGTCGTCAACTCATTCTTGCTTTATGTTTCCCGCCTCTTACTATTAGAGAGAGAATATGTTTCCCGCCTCTTACTGTTCAGAGAGAGAGTGTGAGAGAACTCTTAGAAAGAGTTATAAAGTTGATCTGTCCATAGCCTCATACCCTTTGTCCATCAAGTAATGATATTTGAGATAATTTTAAGGGTAAATTACACATATCATCGGTGTGCTTTGCTTTATTTCTTATTTCACACACTTTACTTTAAAATTTGTCAATTTTCTCACTGAACTTTATAAATTTAACATTTTTTGTCACTAAACTTAATAAAATTAGTTTTTGGGTCACTAAGTTGTTACCCTCGACTAACAGACGTCATCTTCCCCTATCATCCCTCCTTTCTCCATAGCTTCAGGAAAACTTACCAATGGCGAAGGTAAGACACACGATGATGGATCGACAACGAATAGACACTACCACCTAGGTTTCGGTCAGAATTGGACAATGAACTCATTAGTGAAGGCGATGAGGTGCAACAACGACAGAATCGACCGAAAATCACAAAAATCAGCAGTGGCGTCGTCATCAGTTTTTGATGAAACTTCGATCAATCCTCGACTACGAACGATGACACTTTATAGATTGGGGTCGGTAGGGGTTTTACTGGAGCAAGAAGATGCTTTCGATGCCATAGGCGGTGACACTTACCAACGAACAATGATCGAGATCAACGGTGAAGGGCGTCGAATGACTTTCTCACAATTTATGACGTTTTGACGATCAATTCTGAGTAGATGGTGGATGGAGTTTACTCGGGAGGTGACATTGGAACTGTTGGTTGCGACAGTGCAAGCAACAGTTGGCCGAAGACGATGGATCGAAAATGAAAGAGGGGAGAGAGTTAGGGGTGAAGAAGAAAAAATAATTAATAAAATAATATTGTTTAACGCCATTTGTGGGAGAAACGGCTGAGTGACCAAATTTGTCAATTATATAAAGTTCAGTGAGGAAATTGACTAGTTTTAAAGTACAGTGAGTGAAATAGGAAATAAAGTAAATTACAGTGATGACCAGTGTAATTTACTTAGGGTAAAGTGTACAAATGATCTATGACTATAGTAGACTGCTTTGTTGAATCCTCCTATTTTTAAAAGTTATAAAATGATCTCTCGATTATAGGCTGATGTTTTATTGAGTCTATCGACTATTAATGTAACACCCCGATCCGTACCCAACCTAGATACGACTCTGAGGTGTAACATTGACTTTTAAAACACTTTTGTTTATTTAAAATGCAACAAAAACTTTACAAAGAAAACAAGACTTTACAAAGAATAGTTACAAACATATCAGAGCATCTATGACTTACACATTTTAGTACATGCTAACAATCAAATCACATACTATTTAGTTTACGTTGATATGATATCCTTCATAGCTATAATGTTCTGCCCTTGCTTACTATGATGATGTCTCCAAACCTACGTGTGAAAATAATCACACGCTAAGTCTATGACTTAGTGAAGCAATACTGAGTATAGTAAAATAATAAAACCGTTATGTAAAAGTTTCCAAAAGAATTATTACCTATTATAACACCGTAGCCTTTATAACTTATAACATATACTATTACTCATTGATTAATTTACGTGCATTTGAAATTTGCTTATACATTCCTTTAAAACATTTTGTATAAAACCAATAGACACTTCATTAACATTTTAATTTTGTTACTCATTGTTCAAATTGTATCAAGTTTGTTTTATTAGCCCAACGTATATCGCTGAGAACTCAAGGTATGTGAATACATTGAGGTTGTGCACTAATGCAGTCACCACTGCTCATATAATTTGCACCGAAGTGTCGCATAGAATTTGCACCGAAGTGTCACATAGATTTGTCCCTAAGGATCGCATAGAATTTTTCCCAAAAGACCACGTAGAATTGTCTCGAATGACCACATAGATTTTTCCGGAAGGACCACATAGAACTCTCGACTCTTGGCATGCCAACTATACCTTAATTCTCATAAACTATAATTTAGGCTTTAGTTTTATAATTAATTTTCAATACTTTATTCCAATGCCTTTTATTCACATAAAGGATTTACTCATAACATTCCTTTTAACATTTCTCACTTATCATTTATGTTTCATAGAACATATTCACTTAGCACATATTTACATAACATTTCACGAAGAACATTGTCACATAGCATTATCAAATTTTATTATCTATTCACATTCAAACACTTACTTATAGTATTTCATTTCACATAGCATTATTTAATATTTTTTCATTTAATCACATATAACATGCATTCATAGTGATTCACATAATTATTTCATGTTACATATCATTATTCAACTTATCCATTTACTTATATAGAACATATTCACATAGAAAAATTTCACATATACTCATAGCATTTCATTTGTTCAAAAACATTTGAGGTTGGCTCAACGTAATCCGTCCTCCAATCATAAGTAAAATAAGTAAATAGCACTCACATTTATCTCACTTAAGCCCTAAGCAACTCTTTTTCACTTTAACTCCCCAACTTTATACGTCATTTTTCTCAGCACTTGTTTTCGATCGAATCTACACATTAACATGATCAATATAAATATCGGAGCTCAATTAACATCTAACCAATTAACCTTTACTTAAGCGAAATGGAACACCTAATTAATATTTTTGACTAAATAGTATCAGTACTCTCTCTACCCACAGTACAGATACTTCTCTCTTATGGTACCGATACCCACTTCAGTACCGGTACCATTTTGACATTCTGGAAATTAGGTTTCAATTACAGTATACATACCTTACTCTTGGTATCGATACCTCCACATCAGTATCGATACTACTTCAATCAGTATCGATAGTGTTCATCTTATTCATACCATTCCCTTACATTTTAACCTTATATTATTGGTATTGTTCTTCCAGTACTGATACCCTTACTAAGAATTCATCTATTTCACTTCGAAAATTTACCCAACTTCATTTAAATCTCCTACTTTAAACTCTATTTATAACTTTAAACTCATTTACACTTATTACCACTAACTTATACCCATTAAAATCCCTTTAACATGTAAAATCTTCAATAAAATTCTTGAAAATAAAAATCATATCAATTCTTTAAACATGTTCTCAATCATTTCTAACACTTCTAACATCTTATTAAAACCCTTGACAAGTCAAATATTCCTTTAGAATCCAAATATTCATCATTTTCTAACAATTTCCTTAAAAGTCCATTTTACTAATTCACCATTAATTCATCCATATCTTATTTTCAATTCATCTTTAAGCTTTATTAAGCTTCTATATTACCCAAAGAACCAAAACCAAATAAAAAATGAAAGAATTAACCAACTTCAATTTACTTACCTTAGAAATGAGAAGCTTACGGTGGAGAGGAAGACGAGAAAGTCAAAGTTTCCAGACTTTTTTTTCTTTCTTTCCTTATTTCCCATATGCTTTAAATAACCTTTAAAAATGAATTTTAAATTCATTCATACTAAATGACCTCTTTGCCCTTTCATTCTTCCATCTTTGATAATAAGTCATAGACATAAATTTCAAAATCAGTCATTGAACTTTTCAATTTATTC